TTCAATAGTATATTGTATATGTTGCAACGGTCGGATGGATGTTGCAGAGGAGATGGGACGTTAGGATAGGAGAAGGGGCTCGGCGGGGATGGCGCCGCGACGAGGGTAGGAGCGTGGCGTGGTGGGGGAAGGAGCACGGCAGGCTTGACACCAGAGGCGCAACCGGGATGGGGATTGATTCGTGGATGGTCAGACGCGGTCACTGGAGCGGGATCGTTCGTTGGCGGCGGGGCGTGATTCGCTGGCGCGGGATCTGATGCGAGCGCGGGGGCGTCCGATGCAAAACGGTTGCACGCATCGGAGCTGCGTCTGGACACGGGCCAGGGGCCGGACGTCCGGGAGCTGGCCCTGCCCATAAAAAAAATTGACTCATTTTGGTCTAAAAATACGTCCTATTGGAGCTGACGTAGTACTGGCAAGACTGACCGAGTGACCGTCACAGGCCTTGTAACTTTTTTTTAAGGAAACACAGGCCTTGTACCTGATGTCTAGTACTGGGAAAACCGAGTGATCGACACAGGCCTTGTAATAGTGGAGGGCTCCCGTGCAAAGCCTGGTATCGAGACTACTTTGGCGGCCCGATGGCCGTTAAGATGACCACTGGAGAAGGTTAAGAAGTCTTCAATCGGGCCCAAATACGTTTGGTCGACATGTTCTCATTTTCTCGTCGACTCAGGTATCACTGTGACCTCGCGTCTTACTCTATCAACTTGTCTCAATTTTTTCCATGATAATGCTATGGTTAGGGCGTCCGTTTCGTCTGGACGCATGTTGGTGGGCCTCAACGTCCGAACGACCCGATAGACAACACCATAATCCGTACGGAAATAAAAAAAAATAAAAAATTGTCTCTCACCTTCTTCTCGAATCGCCATTGTTTCCCATACATTCTCGAACCAATTCTCCGCGCCCGCATCGTCGTGGCTTGCTCCACCGCAAATCAAGGCCGCCACGCCACGCACCGCCACGCCCGCAAATGCAATGACGTCTTTGCACCAAGCACGCCGACGCCGCCACCGCTTTCCTCTCTCTCCCCCACCGCCACTCACCACTCGCCGCCGAGTTCTTCGAGCCGACACGGCATGGTCCACGATGACTGCTCCGGCACGGCGTTCTTCACCACGCCCGGCCGCTTGCCTGCCGCCATCCTCCCTCTCCACTGCACCCTGAGCGTCGCTTGTTGGCTACCGCAGTTCCCCACCAGGTAGGCCATAGTTGCCGGCGGCGCCATGTTTTGTTTCAGGTGTGTTTCAAAAGTTGTTTGCAAGTGTTTCATATGTATGTTGCAGGTATATGTTTGAAGTGTTTCAGTTGTTTCATACGTATGTTTCACACGTTTCATCTGTATGTTTCATGTGTTTCATTTGTTTCACCTTGATGTTGCAAAAGGATATGATGTTACATATGTTGCAATGGCTAAACACGTATGTTTCGAGTGTATGTTCTATATGTTTCATCTGTTGTAGACGTATGTTGTAAATGTATGTTCTAAATGTTTTAGTTGTTTCAGACGCATGTTTCATGTGTTTCATCTAGATGTTGCAATGACTATACAAGTATGTTTCAATAGTATATTGTATATGTTGCAACGGTCGGATGGATGTTGCAGAGGAGATGGGACGTTAGGATAGGAGAAGGGGCTCGGCGGGGATGGCGCCGCGACGAGGGTAGGAGCGTGGCGTGGTGGGGGAAGGAGCACGGCAGGCTTGACACCAGAGGCGCAACCGGGATGGGGATCGATTCGTGGATGGTCAGACGCGGTCACTGGAGCGGGATCGTTCGCTGGCGGCGGGGCGTGATTCGCTGGCGCGGGATCTGATGCGAGCGCGGGGGCGTCCGATGCGAAACGGTTGCACGCATCGGAGCTGCGTCTGGACACGGGCCAGGGGCCGGATGTTCGGGAGCTGGCCCTGCCCATAAAAAAAATTGACTCATTTTGGTCTAAAAATACGTCCTATTGGAGCTGACGTAGTACTGGCAAGACTGACCGAGTGACCGTCACAGGCCTTGTAACTTTTTTTTTAAGGAAACACAGGCCTTGTACCTGATGTCTAGTACTGGGAAAACCGAGTGATCGACACAGGCCTTGTAATAGTGGAGGGCTCCCGTGCAAAGCCTGGTATCGAGACTACTTTGGCGGCCCGATGGCCGTTAAGATGACCACTGGAGAAGGTTAAGAAGTCTTCAATCGGGCCCAAATACGTTTCAACTGCTGCTTCGGTAACAGCCCAAACTGCGGGACAATTGCTTTTGTGGAGCGGGCCGAGTGGCTCAAATTACCTGCACGACTTAAACGATTATCAGCTTCTCAAAAAAAAAAAACTAAATGATTATCTAAAAAAATTATGTACGGCAAAAACCGTAGGAACAGGAATAACACAAGAATTTGATAGAAATGTATATGAAAAATAGAGGAATTGAAACCACAGGAATTTTGTTAGAACATGTGTTTGGATGGGTCTATAAAAAAACATAGGAATCAAAATTTCTTTAAGAGATATTTACATGTGTGGCCTTTAAAAAAATATGTCTTTCTTCTATGGCCTTTTTTTTATTAAACTTACCTATATGACCCAAAAACAAAAATCTCTTCTTTCTATGACCTTCCGTCCAATTTAGACTATTGACGGTGTTAAGTGTAGGCTAAAATGACATTGCTGCCCTTCCCGTTTCCAGAGTTAGAATGCAAGATTGCATGGACTGTTCTGTGGACTGGGTGAAAGGGTAGGGGCCCTTTTAATCTTGACCGCATATCAGAAGATGAATGGCTCAGGTCCACAGGTATGCATAGTATTTCTAGTGTATTTTGGATTTATTTTTCTGAGAAAAAACGGCCAGATGACATCACGTGTTCACCATAGGCATTGCTCGGCCGCACGTTCGATTCGGCGCAAGCACAGCAGCGCACCTGCGTGCGTGTGTGCACGGGGAGGGCGCACAGGCCTTAGCGCTCGGCTCGGGCGCTCGGCCATGCATGGGACCGCCTCGAAGCTCTGCTCCAGCAGTTGCACCTGCTCAGCCATCAGACGGAGATGGCGTTGCTGGTGAGCAAGACGTCGCGTAGGGAGCGGAGCGGCCGAAGAGCCCGTCCGAGATGACGCCAGCGAAGGCGTTGGCGTTGACGTCCAGCGTCTGGAGAGCCGGGAGGCCGGCGAGCTCGGCGGGGACGTTGCCGGAGACTTTGTTGTGGGTGAGGAAGAGCGATTGGAGCACCTCGAGGCGAAAGAGGCCCCGGCCAAAGGTGAGAGGGGGGCCGGCTGGCCGTGGATCCGGCGGTGGCCCCTGGCCGGAGATCCAGTCGGCACCCTCCTCCATACTTGCTCGCTCGGTATTTTTTCACCACCCTCTTGTGCTGTGGTAGAAACAGAGAAAGAGATCAAAATAAGCAAAAGGTATTTTAGTCATTTCGCATGTCTACTAAGTGGGAAAGCTAACCGGAGACCTTAACAGACTCGACGGAAGACCACGTAAGGAATATATTTTCGTTTTCAGGTCATACAAGTAAGTTCAAAAAAAAAAAACCATGGAAGGAAGACCTATTTTTTGAAAGGCCATACAGGTAAATATCTCTTTCTTTAACCATACTCTTGGCCCTAATGAAATTAATTCCATATAGCAAGATCTTGACATCATTTCTTGGCCTCTCGGCTCCGCCTCCCTGTTCTCTCTCCTGATCACATGATTTGCCTCGATCCTACGCTTTTCCGATGGAAACAATGAAGCTGGAGTAGATGTTTCTTTCCTACACTTTTCCCGTGAAAGTTAAACCATAGGAAAAAATCCTTTACTTTTCCTTGGAAGGATTGTGGATTCATGTGTTTTTCCTTTAGAAATCCTATGAAACAGAGGAGGCCTGGTTTTGTTTCCTGCTGTCGAAGCGGCTCCTTGCGTGGTGACTGCAGAAGTTCAGCCAAGCAGGACAATGCAGAGATGGGAGAGTTGAGAAATGTGCTCGGAGGCAATGCAGCGATGACACTGCGAATCAGGCAACCAGGCTGGCAGGCAGCTTTGCTAGCTGCAGATTATTCCAAAAGTCAAAAGCGTACGTGTGAATTGCTTGTCTACCATACACGAATACAGGTGCCAGGCTCGCAGCAGACGTTCAGTGGAGTTACCCTCCTGAATCCTAACCAAACACCCCTCCCAGTCCCAGGCTCGCAGCAAACCTGGATTCAAAAAAACTATCGCAAATGCCAGCACATGTGCCAATATCAAATCAAACGCTTTCAAGCATGACAGCGCACATCAAATGCTCGCTACAAAACCCACTCGTTCGGCAGAGCAATTCAAGCATCCATCGATTCATTAAAACTAACGCAGAGCAATTCAAGCATGAAGCATCCATCGATTCATTAAAACTTCCGAGACATACTACTGACAGCCGAGACAACGTTATTAGTCCTATTCTGTCCTGCCACAAACTAAACTTCAGAGACCTTGACAATTAACATTGCCAGATAGGAGAAGGTGTTAGACTGATCTTCCCCGGCTAATTGGCCATTGGATCCGCGTCCTGACCGGGACGCCAAACCGTTCCATGGTCGGTGGGCCCCCGTCGCACAGCGTCAAAGGAGGTGGGAGCCGGGGCACAAGGCACGAGAATCACCTGCGCCGCTAGAAACCCCACCTACACCTCTAACCCTAAGCCGATCTAAGTGAGGGGACGTTGCCAGCGACAGGAAGCACCGCCACCGCCAACGCCGCCACTACACCGCCGTCTTTCACCACCGGCGCCTCCACCGAGTCTCAACCGAGCACCGCGATGGCCAGCTCGTCTTCTACGAAGGCGACCAATGGTTTGCCATCCGCATGCCACTCTGTCTTTATTTCCTCGCACTGGACTATGTTTTAGGGTTTACTATTTCATCCAAAATATCAGTGTACATGCTTGATCTATGGCGGGATCCTGTTACGTATCTATCAGAAGCTAGACACGAGAATTTACTTGCTACTACTGTAACTAGGCAACAGCAATCAGCAGCATGATTGGACGGGAGAGCTCAGTCGAACACCTCGAGCCCGTCGTACTCCGAGCCGGAGATGGCGTCGGCCACGACGGCGGCCGGAGTGAGTTTGCCATCGGCCTCCAGGAAGAGACGCACCAGGTTCTTGGAGTAGCCGCTGACCAGCGCCGCGCCCTTCTGTGCCGCCACCACCGGCATGGAAGCTTTCGACGTCCCCACGTTCCAGAACACCACCTCCGGCGCCGTGAACCCAGCGTCCATGAACCGACTGCTGATGCCCTGGTACTCCGTATCCCACGGCGCCGCGGGGCCGGCCCACCCATCGAAGTCCATGTCGCTCAGCACGAAAATCCTCTTCACCATCATGTCGCTGCGCAGCCCGCCCGCCACCGCCGTGCTCAGGATCTTGCTGAACACGCCCTGCAGGTTGGCGCCCTTCTTGCGCGTACCGAGGGTCGCCACCAGCGGCTGCAGCTTCTCCTTGAGGTTGGCGCCTTGCCGTTTGTGCAGCTGGTGCGTCTCGTCGAAGGTGATCACCCTCCCCTTCCACGGCTCCTGGCTCAGCTCCGAGATCAGGAGCCCCAGCGCAACGGCTGCCGAGACCGCAGGGTCCGTGGCGGCAGTACCGGTCATGAGCCCGCACACCGCGATGCAGTTGTCCAGCCGGCCCTCCGCAGACAGGGCGTACACCATGCTGCGCCACTGGAGCTCAGCGGCATCGTCGTGCTCCCCCTTGAGAGCCGGGGCGATCAGCTCGTGAGGCAGCACCGCGCCCGCAGCCATCCTAGCGTGGCCCGTGCGCACCTCGTCGTAGAAGCCTGCCACGCGGGGCTTGTCGCGCTTCTGGAACGCCTCCTTGTACCTTTGCATCGCCACGGACGCCACGCGCTCGTACGGCAGATCATCCAACTTGCCCGCGCTCATGTACACCTCCGGGAGCTCGAGCGCCTTGCGCAGTGGCACCAGCACCTCGCGGCGGAGACGATCGCGGACGCGGTAGCTGTAGTGCTTGTCGGAGAGGTTTAGGTAATCCTGTCTCGACTCGCGCGGAAACATGCGGCGGGCGATGGCCTCGCAGAGCAGGGTCGCGCGGTCGTAGGACGAGCGGAGCGACGGGCACCACTTGGCCGCGAGCCCGATCTTGGTGGTGTCCCCGACTCGCAGGTGTTCGACGTCGGACTTGAGCAGCTCGGCGAATGTGTCGGCGACGCGGTCGTAGAGGTGGCGGAAGGCCTCGTCGGAGGCGTAGCGCGCGATTGCCACCTGCGCGAGTTGCGCCTCTTTGTTGAGCTTCTCCTTGGCAGTCTGTGCCTCGCTGACGCCGCGGCGGCGCTTCACGGGATAGCGACTGTTGTCACCCTTGTGCTCGTCCTCGTCGCGGGGGCCGTGGAGGACGAGGTAGAGGATCTCGGGGAGGTCCTTGAGGCATCCGAACCTGGCGAAGTTGGCGAGGTTGGCGGCGAGGGTGAGCGGGTGCCGCGCGTGCATCCAGAGCGCGGCAGCGTAGAAGCCGTCCCTGTCGGACTTGCCGAGGCCGCGGACGCCACGGAGATGGCAGACGAGCTTGAGGGCCGTCCGCGCGTCGTGGGACCAGGCCGCGTCGAGGAGCACGGTGAGGTCGGCGTCGGAGGTGACGCCTGGGACGACCTGGAAGAAGAGGTCGACGCAGGGGTCCCCAGAGGTGTTATAAACTGTGGATCGACTACGGTAGATCTAGACGGATGAATACTTAGACCAGTGAAGCACATGCACATTTAGACCTAGAATACTACACCGAGAGGGAGATAGGGTAGAGAGGGGCTGGTGATGAACCTGAGCCTTCAGATGAAGTCGTGGTTGTGCTGGCCATCGCTGGTTCGGTGATGGAGGCAGCACACGGGCAGCGACGGGTGGAGTAGAGGTTGCGCGGACGTCGATGCAAAGGCGGTCTTGGGCGTAGCGTGGATGACGGCGGCGAGGATCAGTGAGCTTCCGTCATTGTCTGCGCGCCTCTTAGATCGGTCTAGGGTTTGTCGGTGGGTTTGCGGCTCACGGCCCGAACCTCGTGCTTTGAGACGCCGGCCCCCACCTCTTTATATATAAGCCTTGATCTGACGGGCCCCACCAACCATGTATGGTTGGGCGCCCCCGATCAGGGCGCGTGACCAAGGCCCAATAAGCCGTTGGGCTTATTGGTTAGGAGATCAATCTAGCATTCTCCCCCTTGATCTCACCATTACTTTTATCTTTAAACTTTAAACTTCAATCCTTTTATCCTTACTCATTTCTTCACAGATGATGCATAGAACATGTCTCATCGTCACGGTCAATCGCCGATAGATTTAACAGCTACAATGCACGTCTCTGATCTGAAATAGTTACTTTAACTTTTGGGCCCTTTATAGTCCAGGAATCATAGGTTTTCCCTTAAACCCATGCCGGCTACATGTTCTCTGAACACGTTGGGTGGTAAGCCTTTTGTAAGCGGATCCGCGAGCATCTTTTCGGTACTTATATGCTCAAGACTTATCATTTGATCCCGGACTTTATCCTTCACAACATAATACTTTATGTCAATGTGTTTGACAGCACCACTTGACCTATTGTTGTGAGCATACTGTACTGCTGGATTATTATCGTAGTATAACTTCAGTGGTCTATTGATGTCGTCAACCACCTTCAAACCGGGTATGAACTTCTTTAGCCAGTTCACCTGCCCCGTTGCCTCATAACACGCTACAAACTCGGCATACATTGTGGACGATATAGTAACGGTTTGCTTTGAGCTTTTCCATGAAATAGCTCCCCCTGCGAGAGTGAACACATATCTAGACGTGGATTTTCTATTATCTCTCGCATAATCAGAATCTGAATATCCCACTATATGGAGTGAATCAGATCTTCTATATGTCATTATGAGGCCTTTCGTTCCTTGCAAATAACGCAAGACTTTCTTTACCAATTTCCAGTGTTCTATTCCAGGATTGCTCTGGAATCTGCCAAGTAACCCGGTAACAAATGCCAAGTCAGGGCGCGTACACACTTGAGCATATTGCAAGCTTCCGACAGCTGAAGCATATGGAACCACTTTCATTTGATCGATCTCATATTGGTTCCTGGGGCATTGAAAATCCCCATATCTATCGCCCTTGACTATAGGAGCAGGTGAGGGACTACATTTGTGCATATTGAATTTCTTTAAGACTTTTTCTATGTATGCCTTTTGTGACAGTCCTAATACCCCTTTACTTCTATCTCGGTGAATCTCGATCCCTAGAACGAACGAAGCTTCACCAAGATCTTTCATATCAAATTTTGAGGACAAAAACTTCTTTGTTTCCAGTAGTAGACTGACATCACTACTTGCAAGTAAGATATCATCCACATACAGGACAAGGAAGATAAACTTCCCATTCTTAAACTTTGCGTAGACACAATTGTCCTCAACATTATCTTTAAACCCAAAATTCTTTATTGTCTGATCAAACTTCAAGTACCACTGTCTTGAAGCTTGTTTTAATCCATAAATAGATTTCTTTAGGCGGCATCCTAAACGTTCTTTTCCCTCCATGACAAAACCTTTCGGTTGTGCCATGTAAACATTTTCCTCTAAGTCTCCGTTGAGAAATGCCGTCTTTACATCCATCTGATGTAATTCCAAATCGTAATGTGCCACTAATGCCATTATGATTCTGAAGGAATCCTTACACGAGACTGGAGAAAAAGTCTCATTGTAATCAATCCCTTCTCTTTGTGTAAAGCCTTTTGCCACAAGTCGGGCTTTATATCTTTCTATATTCTCTTGAGAGTCAAGTTTTGTTTTGTAGACCCATTTACAGCCTACTGTTTTGGCTCCTTTAGGAATTATCTCCAAATCCCAAACTTTATTTGCATTCATTGATCTCATCTCATCTTCCATGGCCTCAAGCCACTTTGATGAATGATCACTTTTATGGCTTCTTCAAATGAGGTGGGATCATCCCCATTTGAAATTCTTGATGTTGTACACTTCATAATCAGCAGGAATAGCTGATTTTCTAACTCTTTGAGACCTTCTAGGGGCCTCCTCAATTGGCACATTTTCTTTTGAGGTGTTGTTGCTCCCCCCTCATGTGTGGCAATAGGTTCTATAGGATCCCGAGGCACGTGTTCCTCATCATCATTCATTGTTGCCACAGTGGGATAACAACAGTCTTTGGCACCACAGGTGTCTTGTATCACAGGCAAAGAACAAAGCAGTAGTGAGAAAAATGGCTCATGAATGATCGGAGTGGGTGCATACACCCGCTTCTCTTCAAGGTCAATTTCTCGAGCTACCATGCTCCCCTAATCATTTCATCCTCTAGGAAGACAGCGTGTCTCGTTTCCACAAACTTTGTATGTCTCATTAGGGCAAGAGAAACGAAAACCTTTTGACTTTTCTCGGGTAGCCAATGAAATGGCAACTCACCGCTTTTGGGATCTAGCTTCCCAATGTTTGGGTTAAAACTTTAGCCTCAAAGCAGGCTCCCCCACACACGCAAGTGGTTAAGTGAGGTACTCTTCCTCGTCCACAACTCATACGGTGTTTTGGGCACCGACTTACTTGGTACTCTATTGAGAATATGAATGGCGGTTTTAACGCCTCCATCCACAGACTCATCGGTAAAGTGGAGTAACTTATCATACTACGCACCATATCCATCGAGAATGCAGTTACGCCTTTCGGCTACTCCATTCTCACCGAGGTTCGCCTGGGTGTTGAATCTTTGGCGACTATACCATTCTCTTGTAAGAACCTTACGAAAGGTCCAGGAACTTATCCATATGGGGTATGCCGACCGTAGTACTCTCCTCCACGGTCAGACCTGACTATCTTAATCTTTAAATCATGCTGATTTTCAACTTCTGCTTTAAATATTTTGAATTTATCCAACGCTTCTGTTCTTTCTTTAATTGGATAAATATAGCCAAACCGAGAGTAATCGTCTGTGAATGTTATGAATGAATCATAACCATCCACACTTTTCACAGGAAAAAGACCACATATGTCTGTGTGAATAATCTGTCGAATTCCTACGCTTCGTTTGGCATCTTTCTTAATTTTCTTTACATACTTTCCTTTTATGCAATCTCTACATTGTTCTAACTCTGGGAGCTCTAATGAAGGAAGAATATTATTCTTAACTAGTCTTTCTATTCTCCCCCTCGAAATATGGCCAAAACGACAGTGCCATAATTTCGACAACGCATCGTGAGCTCTCTTTCGTTTTCTGTTTCCATTGTTCGATGAGGATACATTTTCATCCACATCACATACGGAATTCACATTTTCACGAAGTGATAACAAATAAAGCTCGTCTTGTCGGAAGGCAAGACCAACACATTTATTATTAAACAATATCTGACATTTGCCATTTCCAAAATGGCAATCATAACCATCATGGTCCAACTTTGATACACTAATCAGGTTTCTTTGCAAAGAAGGTACATAAAGAACATCTCTAAGAAAAAGTATAAAGCCATCTGGAAGCTCTAGAGGAAGATCTCCAACGGCCTCAACTTCTGCTTGTACTCCATTTGCGACTTTAATGAAACTTTCGCTTCTTTGCAAAGTTCTCATCGAACGGAATCCCTGTAATGAATTAGCAACATGAATAGTTGCACCTGAATCAATCCACCAAGTAGATTTTGAAAACTTTACATACAAGGATTCATTTACGAACGTAATAATGTTCTCACTTTTATTCTTCATTATCATCTTTAGGAAATCGGGACAGTTCTTTTTATAATGTCCCGTCTTCTTGCAGTGGAGACACTGGTCTTTAGCCACTGGGAATTGCTGATTCTAAGACTGTTGCATGGGACCTTTTCCAGATGACTTGGAGGAAGAGTCTGTTATAATAGTTCTTTTCTTATCTTTTAGGTAGTTGATGTAACCACCTTGTGAAACTTTTATTCTTTCCTCCTCCTGCACACACATGGCTATGAGCTTTTCTAAATCCCATTTTTCAGGCTATATGTTGTAATTAACAACAAAGGTGTCAAATTCTTTGGGCAAAGAAGCAAAAATCAAATGAATAAGAAACTCATCCTTGAGTGCCAAATCCATTGGTTTGAGCTTAGATGCCGATTGCTCATTCTCAAGATATGTGCTCTCTAATGCCACCGCCGCCACCACAGTACCTTTTTTTTAAGGTACTTGATCACCGGGTGGGTTGCATATATCTTTGAAGAGCCAATGAACCTGACTCTTTATTCTATCTAGGTACTCTGTGACCGTGTCACGATCCAGAATTGAGCCCACAATAGCAGAGCTCAATTGTGTTCTTTATCACCGCCAAACACTTCTTGTTGGCGTTGACCCATTTCCTATGCTCAAGGTCATAGGACATCTTTACGGGAGCAAAATCCGCTCTCTATTCTCGCCATGCAAAGATCGGTCCTCATCAGTCTCCTCACCGTGCCACAGTTCTCTCCTGGGCACGGTGTGGTGACAACCCATCCACCTCAAATGAGGATGAAGGCCAGTCTATCTTTTCTTCCACTCATTATAGTTATCACCTTTTAGAGTAGGGATCTCTTTGATACAACTCATTAAGTTATATCCTCCTGAAAACACAATTCAAATAGTGTGAGAACAGAAATAACAACAATAATTGCATGCCTTAGTTTAACATTGGTCAAAATTAAAACATACAATTGTTTTATACATTAAATCTACATCACCGTTGGGCAGAAATAGAAATAATGCA